AACGAATAATGTGCCTACTGAGTTGTTTTGAAAATTCAGTATCGACACCATTGAACAATACGCCTTTGAACTCTATTCAAAGAGGGGATTCCCCTTGGCTTCAGTTCCTGCTACTCAGCCAATCAGTGAAGTAGAACCTGCCCGGACTTGTAAAACAATAGGCTATAGACATGTCCTAGCTAATAATTATAAATACGACTTTAATTAATTTCTGTGTTGTATTATTCTTGAAATATTGTGCTAAGGAAACCTAATATTATTTGACAATAATATTAAAATTATATTCAAAGAACTTGGTTTAATTAATAATTATGTCATAAAGAACATAAATGTCTTTATCTTTCACTAAGGCTATTTAACAAACCACACGCAACGTTTCGTTGTTGTTCTACCATTCCTTGATCAGCGATATCGAAATCGCACATAACGTCGACTATTACAACTTCCCGAGGATCCATATAAGTAAGGTAAGAATTTCACTGAATTGAAAAAAGCACTGGTAAAGAATTGTCGTTAATTAATATAATATAAAATATAATATAAGGTAATATATATAATGATGGATTTAATATGTTCTGCATATGCGGGCTGACCATAACTATCAGTAGGAATCGTGACCATTTTAAAACGAAAGCTTCACGTATTGTGTTAAAGCTTGTCTATAAGGCAATTGCGATAAAACTAGAAAACACGTTAAACCTATACAATCTTGACAGAAATCCCGTGGACACTGCAGAGGTGTAAATTAAAGTACTACTGTTGGCATACACTTGTTGGCGTCATTGTCTCCCTCTCTACAATGTTGGTCGTGACATGCGCTTTGCAAAGCTTTCACCTAACCAATGCACTGTATAAACTTTCAACATTGAACCCGGGGGAGGGGGAATTTAAACATTGCTGTTTTTCACGTAGGCTATACAGGGCCGCCGAGAGGTTGGCGGAGGCCTGGGTCAAATTTTTTTGGGGGGCCCCCTAAAATTTTTTCCGGAAAAATTTTTCCTGAGAACAACCCTCCACTTCGGCCCCTAAAAAATTTCGATCAGTTTTTTACCTGAGTAAACAATTTTTCCGGACGAATACGTTGCTATTGCTTTCCAGGGACTTTATCTCATTTTTTTATGCCAAACTTCGGTACTTAGCCGAAGAAAACAGATATATTGTCCTTTGCCCGGAAATATTTAACACACAAAAAAGACTGGGGCCCAACAAAAATTTTTCAGGGGCCGCCAGCACCTCTGGGCCCGATGCAATTTGCCTCCCCTGCCCCCCCCCCCCATCTCGGCGGCCCTGAGGCTATATATTGGCCAAGGATGACGTTTCTGCCTCCGCGCACGCTATCCACAATAATTTTGCCAGGATCAGTGTAGCCTAATGTGATTATTCAATGTAAACTTCGTATTCTCATGCTTATTATAATTCTGAAATACGTTTTGTCTATGATGACGATGTTCAGCCTAAGAAACTTCCATATAGGTGTGATCTTTGTAGTAAAACACATTTTCAGTTTAAATTTATACTGAAGAACTACTTTTCGTCGACGTCACTTGCACTAGATCAAGTGCTGCCTGCATGACAATGACATATAAGAAAGATTGAGAAGAACGTCATGACTTGGTGTCATCCAACACGGACGGAAAGATACGTTAACTTCTTAATTGTCGTCTGTTTCCGAAAAAACCCATCGCTGACATGGTATCGAATTGTTTTTGAACAGGCTTCTTCATGTTTTAGTTCAAATTTTGCTTTAAAGAGGATTTTTAAATGTATAAAAAATTCCACATGATTGGCAGCAATGACCCCATTTCTCACTAGATAGGGTATTGCAAACTTTAAACGCCGACGGCCAGTTCAGAAATTTTCTCATGACTTCATCCTGTAACTATAGTTTTCAAAAATTTCGTAGCTGATTTTTAAAGAAAATTGTCGTCATGCACGTGACCTTCAGAGCAAGTCGGCTATTAATTTCGCCAAGCGCGTATAGGGCGACATCCACAGGGGTGTTTGCAATCGTGTTTGTGAAAAAGCTAACGTACCGAAATACCTTTCACCGTTGAACATGCACCCACAATATTCTTCCGCTAAAACTATCAATGGATCCGTGAATTCATTGTGTTTGAGTTTGTCGTAGAGATATTTCCAGCTCTACTTTCAATAATTACGTGCGATGCTTTAATCCAAAATCTTTCCCCGTGTCCGTTTCAAAGTTCTCGCCGACATTTATTTTTCTTAAAACAAGCACAGTTTTTGAGTTTTTATAACCTGAAACACTGTGATTGCCAATACTAAAATGTCTGGCAACATATGCTGGCAGGGCGTGGTGAAAAGGGTCGAGACAACGAGAACTCGTTGTGGGCCCTTGCCATCCTGGGCCCCTAAAATAAAAACACTCAGATTTTTTCAAACATTGAGATTTTAATTTTCAAAATCAAGATCAAGATACTGCATTTATATTGGCAACGAAAAGTTACGATATGCACGGAAAAAAATTAGTATTTCCGGAAAATTGACGAAACGTCATGAAAAATTTTTGCATTCCAGGAAAAAGTACGATATGTGCGGAAAATTTTTAGTATATCCGGAAAATATTGGCGACCTCCCCCCGCTCGCCCACAATTTTTGGAAAAAATATTAATATTGAGCCATCGTTTACTGGGCGCTATCAGATGCTGCTCATTCGTTGTCTTTTTTAAGACGCCAGCACGTCGCTGTATCTGTATGCTGGTTAGCATCGCTGCCAATTACTGCACGCCAATGCTCACCAAATGTTGTCCTCAACGTTCTTCCAGTTTCCCCGATATAAAGCATGGCACATTTACTGCGTGAGATGCAGCAGATGAGATGGAAGGTGCACGTGAAATGGTGCTTGACATGGTATTAAGATTTTGGTGTCGAAATAGTAGTGGCAGAATATATCTATAAACTCACGGGCTTTACTCTGGAGCAACCGACAAGGAGACGTGCCACTATGTGACGATGAATCCTGTAGTTGGGAGCTATCAACTAGGGTTTCACGGATGTATTTTTGCTGTGTTGACATGAGACTAACGTGTTATCGGAGAAAATTGAAAATGTTTCAAAGCCGTTTCTCAAGATATGGAAATTCCTCCGAATACTGAATATCTCTAACTTTGAATTTGAAAGGATGACTGTGACATGTGGGTGCCTTGGTAGTCAGTTTCATATCATTCAGTATCATGATTTATATCGTAATGAAGCCCAACAAGTATCGAGAACACCACTTTTTACAATAGGGTTGACAGGGACTTGACATCCACTCATCAAATTAGAATTTGTAACACTGTTCGCATTCGCAACCTGACAACCCAGGTTGGCACATGTCTCTGCCTATGGCTATCCAACGAACGTATCTCCAGTTCCTGATCTTGATCGTGTCATGGCACCCTTGGTTATAGACATATCATCCCACATATATATCAAGGATACCAAACATGCTCTGCAAATCGTTAAAATCATTCAGTTTCATGGCACTCACTAATTCGTTTTGACCATGGATGGCAATCCTTGTACGCAGTAATTCCGCATCATGATGGTTTAAGAGCCCTCCAATCTCGTTCCTCGAGCCTGCGATCCTCGGGAAGGAACGTGAGGATCTGGAATAATTGGTTTCAGAGAGGAATCTGATTGGCCGTTGATATGGAATGCGCAGTTCGGTCTCAGCCAGGATTCCTGGCTTGCGGCAACGAATTACCCCAGAGCCTCACCTTCCTTCCCGAGGATCGCAGGCTCGGGGAATGAGATGAGAGCCCTCAAATTCTTTGAAGATAAGCGCGTAACCAAGAACCGTCGACCGCTGTTTTGATCCGACTGATTTAGTGCTGTGTTATAATTTCCCGTTAATATGTCATTTGCTAGCGGTTACACTGATAATAAACAAAATTGCAATAAATTACAGAATCAGCAACATGAAAGTGTTTTAAGTTTTAAATATAATTTAGCAATTGCCAAGCGTTAGCAACACCCCCCATCCCGACAGTGTTGTTAATTGAAAATGTGAGCATTACAAAATAGAATGCATGATGAAAGTGAATTGTTATTTGATATGCAAATTGTTACGTTGATATAAGCCCGTGCACGCTTGCCTGAGCTTATACGCAGCAATATATCAAGTAATGTTGTTGTCTTGTCAGTTTCAGCTGTAAAATCGTGCTTAGAATTGGAACTGCTTAGGACTACGAACTTTATTTTACCTTGGAGTAAATTGAATTATATAATATTGACAGAGTCACAGGTAAAGTTTCCAAATAATGTTCTACTGTATGATAATTTACTACTATGAATCTTACATGGACATGCATGAATGCTGCAAGTATATTGTAACAAATCGGAATTCTTAACAAGCTTACGAGTTATCTCATTTTTTAACTAAATTATTTCTTAGTCAAGCTATCCCTTCTTCTTAGTTTCTGATTATTTTCATAATTTTAAGTAAACTGTATTTAATATTTGTGCTTTGACTGGGCCGTATTTTTTAACCAGTTGTGAAATGGCTGAGTCAAGGTGTGCTAGTACTGTAGCTTAGACATCGAAATAAACCAACTTACTTAAATCACACTTTTGAGAGATGGGTTAGTTTAGCTAAGTTAATTGTATCGGAATTCAGATATGAAACAATGCATAACAATTAAACCTTATATCACTTTTCACAAAAGTGTAAATAAACTGATTGAAATGGACAATATTATCCGTTTATTTAAATAAGGATTGAATTAATAAATCATGTGAATTTGCATTAGAACCATGCTAAAATCGCATGCCATTTATGTAAATTTAGCTTGCTTGTATACAGACTGTATCATGCTGTAATACAGTCCATGAAAATTCAGGGCATTTCTTGTCGATCCCCAGTAGCGCTACCCAGATTTGGGTAGTTGATTCTGATTGGTGACAACTGAACTTTGCTGGACTTAAATATCAACGAACGTTGGACTTTGATCTTCAATGGCTAAATAATATTTTCTGTATTGAATTCTATTTGGGGTTTCCCCTGCATCTTGAACTTACTCAAATACATGCCTGGACTCGTTGTATAGACACTGTTTTAATCGGCGCCTAATATTTTGTATTATGGAAACGTATTTAATTAGTCATTGGTAACGACATTGGTTTGTACAATGAAGAGGATTTTTCTTCTTTCAGTTGGGGCTTATCACTGCAACGTCACTCTTCAGCGGTTCGCCTAGCAAGTACCAACACACAGTATTTAATAATTACTTAAAGAATGCATGTTTCTGATCGAGCCGTCGTCCATAACCACTAATAGACATATTTAAATCGAGGACGCGGACATCAAGGACGACGTGAAAATGGCGTCGAAATGGCGTGGAATATCCATACATGGGCAAAACACGCCATTTTCACGTCATCTTTGACGTCCGTGTCCTCGATCTAAATCTGTCTAATAGAGAGTTTAGATCTACGTCGCGACCGGCTCAACGACGCGTTTTCGAAAAAATTTGTCATGCATGCAAGACAAAAAATGTGAATAATTTATGGTTCTAAACTATTCTCAACGGCTTTGTCATTCTCAACACAATGTTAAACCAAACATTATCATGTCTTTCAAGCAACGTGAAAGCTTGTGGAAACCCATTGGTGTTACTCGAATTACAGCGGGCATTGCATAGCTTTAGCCAATCGAGCTTAGCCGCTGGTAAGGTTATTTAAAAATATTTCAAACAAACAGTGAACAAATTAATTGCTTAGCGCTCATTCTTGAGCTGAAATTCAGACCACATCATTGAGCCGGCCGCGTCGTAGAAAAACGAAAATTAGCTGTACAGCTTCTTCTTGAGGTTTCTATAATCATATAAAGGTAAGAGTTCAGCTAATTACAAAAATATTTACTGGTAAAGAATTGTCGAAAATTGTCTCTCTTCAATATGATAATGATATTTTTATATTGTTCATCGATAATGTAGGAATCATGGCGATTTCAAAATGAAAGCATGCATGAATAATTAGGAAACTACAGTCAATATTCAATGTCTTTCCACCTTCAGTGACATTGAAAAGTTGTCTGCAGGTGACGTACTCTTAATGTAAAAATAATAATAATAATAATAATAATAATAATAATAATAATAATAATAATAATTTAAACAACAGAAATCTTTGAATTTTTCTGTGTTGGTGTTGTGTACTCAGGTGAATAATATGTTTGCGATGTTACTCTGAGTGCATATCGACACCGGGCGAGCTTGAAAAATATGCCCGGCCACATAATTAGACTTTCAATTAAATCAGGAAAATAGAGAAACAGTTCACTATATTAGACAGATAGGTCCATTCTCTACACTTTGCATCAATAGTAGCTAATAAAAATTCAGTAAGTCTGGATTATTCCACGGCTTGTTTCTTCTGCAGTAAATGTAGAATGTTGCTCTCAGAGCTACCTCCATACATTTTTTAATAATACGTTCGTCGTTCATTTCAAGTGTTCGTAATAATCTACGAAATCTGTCAATATCTTTCGACACAAACCCTAGAGTGGTTACTTCAAGTGTAATAACTTCAAACGCATAACACCCCGTGATCAGCTCAGATCTTAGATGTCTGTATCTTTCTTTCTTGCGACGTTTAGCCTTCGTACAATTGGTTTCGTAGGGAACAGTTAATTCAACCACATATAAAGAACCCTTAAAATCCACCACTATATCAGGTCTTAGCGTTCGAAATAAAGTTGAAGTACAGGTCGTACCTGAATTAGGACAGTCGGCAAACAGTCGAAGATGTGCACCAACTGCGACTTTTAAGTGATGAATAATAGTCATCAGAATCGAGTCATGCCGCCAAGTATAGCGTTGTTGTTCTAGGGCTACCTTGCAGTTGGAAAAAACGTGTAGCTGGGTTTGTAACTTGTTGCACAGCTCACAGTTGGCGGAGTCACGAATGTTCCAGCGCTTTAGGTTAGAATTATTTCCTAAACTTAAAACTAACGCTCTCCTAGCAAAGCATACTATATTGCTGGGCATTCGAGTGACAATTTCGTGCCATACTTTAATCATCTTCTTATAGCAAGTATCAGTTAAGCAGGTAATGATCACGGATTGTTCTTTTAGTTCTACAAAGTTTGACCAAATTTCGTTAAGGTTTTTCTTTACCAGAATCTTCTTTGCAGCGTTTCTTAACATATATTGTTCAGAGATACTAGCAGCCGCCCGTTCAATAATATCATCAATGACGATGTTTTTTGATGACGTTTTGGTATATAGCTGTTGAATATCGGAGTTGACAGAACTCCTCAAGATTCTGCGCACTGTCAGTTTACATTGATTATATATGTCAGAGGGGGAACAGAAATCAATTCCCAGTTGTAATTTAGGAAGCTTTAGATGACTAATGTTACCGCTGATTGGGATCTGGAGCCATTTCCGGATATATTTGGAAATTATAGAGTCCAGATTAGAATGTATCCAGCTTATAGTAAGCGAGTAGATTGAAAAACGCCAGAAGAACTTTGAGTAGACATAACTTTGAACCACGCGTATTTTCGAAAATGGATTTATTGGGATAAGATCAATTTTCTTTAAGTAGTGTTGGATTTCATCAAGGATCTCAATTTTGGTTTCAGTACAATCCATTTCAAAATTGAATTGTTTACCTAAATACATAAAACTTTCACCGTCCTCGATTGGGGGAACCTGTTGACCAGCGATTTTTATAGTAGGTTTATACTGGGCTGCTTTTGTCCCAAACTTTTTGATCCCAAAAGTGTGGCACTTATTTATTCGGATATATAAGTCTGCCCAAGAGGACCATTTACTAAATGCATTGCACAGCAGTTGATTGTCTTCGTTATGTGCAGATATAATTGCAGCATCGTCCGCGAATTGGAACCAATGGCGAGGGTTTAAGGATATATCATTAACATAACCAAGGCACTGTATCCTTTCATCATTTATCGTGTTAATGAGTGAATTCACGCATAAATTGAAAAGCAAGGGGGACAAACAGTCTCCCTGCAGTACGCCCCGTTCTACAGATATCGGTATGGTTATAAAATTCTTCGTCAAGATTGAGATACCATAATCAGTGTAAAGGTTTTCTATCATAGCAGTGATTTCGTCAGGAATGTGGTGACTTTTTAAAATAGATTTTATCAGGTTATGGTGCACTTCTCCAAATGCGTTTTTGAGATCGATTAGAGTGACAATGATAGACCGCTGCTTGTTGCGGGCGTGGTTTAATAAATAGTTTAACAGTTCGGTATGTTCAACTGTACCAGACAAGCCTGGCCAGAAACCCTTTTGAATGTTTGTTTCGATATATTTATTATCGCGCACGAATTTGAAAATTTTGTTCCTTATCGCAGAGGTGAAAACTTTCAACATGACTGGCTCTAAAACAATTGGGCGAAAATTAGCAGGATTGTCTGGTGAATCCTTTTTGTAAATGAGTACCGCAACAGCACGTTTCCAGATAGTCGGAATATATTTTTCGGTCCAGCATTTCGAGAGGAGTCTCCAAAGCTGTGTTCTCAGGATGGGGCACCGTTTAAAAGAAATAATACTTATTTGGTCAATAGGGCAAGGAGAACCACTACTTTTCATTTTCCGAATTATTTTCGTTATTTCTTGGTAAGTTGGACATTCCAGGTCGAAATTGCTCGATGGCACTGGAAATGGTTTAAGCCAAGAGGGAAGGTTGAATGTTCGGTTTTTATGCTTTCCGAAGAAAATATTTCTAAAATAATCATAGCAGGACGATTCGTCAAAATTTGGTTCTTGTGTCTCTGATTCTTCAAACTCTTTTTTACAAAATTTCCAAAAATCTTTACTTAATTCTTCTTCATAATTACGCTGAACATGTGAGCGCAATTTCTTCCGCAACAGTCTACTGACATATTTTATTTCTTCCAGTTTGCCGTTTTGAAGTTTAAGGATTCTGAGGCATTTCTTTAACTTTGATTTTGACATATTATTATAGTGATTGAAATCGTTCCTAGCTTTAACTTGGCCATAATTGGCACTAAAATACGCCCATATAGTTCCATTCAAATGATCGATTTCCATATTCAAATTTCTTAGTTCCCTAGAAGTGTCTATCTGCATACGAAAATATTTGTTTGCCCTGTCCCATTCAGATTTCGACCGTGGGAGTTTAACTCCCACTAACAGCGATGGTTTTTGACTTGGAAAAATAGCACTAGGCATTTCGGACAAAACTTCCCCGCTACGTTCAAATTAGGGTTGTTCACTTCAACAAATAAGTCCGAAAGGTTGCCGCTACTATTCCCTATATAGCATGATCGACGATGCAAAGTCAACGAGCGATAGCTTAAAAATATACGGCCACAATAGCATCTAAACTTAGCACACTCACCCACCAGCTCACCGTCAGCATTGATATTGACTTGGTGGTCAGTCCTTTCTGTATTCGACGAACGTTCGTTATTACTTTGCCTTTCATTTCCAGCATGAGACGGATGACCAACGCGAGATTTCCATCGCCAAATGTGTCTCCCCAAAGATTTAAAATCTTTGCCACAATATTCACAGATTGTCGCTTTAATAGTCCAGAGTTGCCCCATAATCAACCAGAACAACATAATATTTGCCACGTAGAAGCCTTTCATCTTCATACTGAATTTGTAAAAGCTCAAAACTATCGAAAGTGCAGTTAAACAAGAAAGCTTTTAAAAATATAGCAGGAGCGCCGAAAGCATGACCTCCCCCGACGCTGATCACTGCATAATGATAATAATAATAATAATAATAATAATAATAATAATAATAATAATAATAATAATAATAATAATAATGGAAACTTTATTTATTTCATAATATACCATAAAACTATATTTACATTGATAAACCTCGCTCATAAAGGTAGTTTATCGATGACTACTTGAAAAATATTTGGATTATATAAATTTACAAAAATAGGAAATTTAATATTGTTCAAAATTTTAGAAGCTCTGGGCTAGTCCAGTCTTTGTTTCGCTGACAGTATACATAATATGATGTCCGAATACAAATAGCAATGATTTTCGTTTTAATGTATTATTTTAATTTGCTGTTCATCAAACTTCAGTTCCTTGAGCATATCAGTTAAGGTGTTCGTCGATTGACCAAACACGCCTAGCGAGCTTATGGATACATTAACAAATTTTACCTTATCATAGTTACTTTCTTGATCTGAAATAAGCGGCAGGTATTTTTTATGTTTTCGGTCTGAGTTAGAGTTAAGATTTGTTTCAAAGCCAACAGTCAGTTCCAAAACATATAAAACTTTATTTTCAATTGCCAAGAGAAGGTCTGGACGTAACTGATCACCAGTGATAACTGACGGAGTAAAGCCAGGTAAATCTACGTAGAGTTTGGATCGCTCGGCACTCATAAGGCTTGATGCAATGAAGTTCAGGACTGAATTATGCCGCCACGTAAATCGCTCTTCATCTAGATATGTTTTACAACCAGAGATGATGTGCAGGAGTGACTCAGGAGAGGAGAGGAGAGGAGCAAAAGCCGCATGGCTAGAAATCACGGACAAGATGGCGGACGATTAGTATAATTATGTGCACAAATAACAAATTTGACAAAACCAATATGGCGGAAATACTAAGCCTTTCTACTATATAATTGTAAAATCGATGCGCAGTACCTAGCTATTACAGCATGATTTGCAAGGTGCACACGTCTACAAATAATACACAATACCTGAAAATATATCGATGTATGTTTTCGACCCCTCGCGATTTGCCATTATCCGGCGCGACTGAATTCAATTCACAATATTTCCTCACAATATAAGCTTATATTAAACCCAGTAAATCCTTCATACTTGCTCCATTTAGCTCGTTGTAGCGCGGCCCAAAGAGTTTGCCAACAAGGTGCACACGTCTAATATTCTTGCACGATGTTCGAGCATTCATTCCGTATAAGTTTTAGAATACCATAGCTTGTAGCGATGCGGCGTTTTGACTTTAAAATTCTCTGTTTTGAGGCAAATTTTAAAATGGCATTCCAGCCATTGAAAGCCATTTAGTAAAGAAAAAACCAGGAAATTTTGCCAAATATCTGTCTTTATATTCTCGCCATTTTGAAAGCATTCGAAGGAGTAGCCGCTGACTAACAACTGCGAGGGAAACAGGCTCATAAACAAAACAAATCGCGGGAAATACAAATTGTAAATCTACTTTGAACTTCTAAGTTTTAAAAAAGTTTGGAAAGTTGAGAAAATATAGGGTTAAGGAAATATTTTTTATATTTTCCATAGCAAGAAACGTGTTTTACAATGTCTGATATTCCTCTAAATGATTCCATACTTAAATGGAAATTATGCATGGAAGAGCTCTCATTAGCATATGCAGCAAAACCTAATGCAAGGCCAGTCCTTGTTGTGGGTATTCCATACCCTCTTTTGAAGGTATGGCAGGAATACATGGTGAAGCAGAACGAAATGCAGAAAATAGCTGAAGAAGATAGAGCTGGCGAGAATGAGAATACCTGCCCATGTCAAGATAATATAGATTATGTCGACTTATTCGAGCTTTCAATCCCTGGTAGTGCCTTTGGAATAACGGAAGACAAAACCATCAGAAGTGAAGTCAACGCTTCTCTGCGTAAGTTTTCCGGAATGGTAAAATCTGCTTACAACAAGGCAAAAGGGAGACACAAGAGAAAGGAACTTGATTCCTGTGTAAGTAGATTTCACTTACTTGAGGGTATGACCATTTCTGTAAAAGAGTTGCAAAGAGAAAATGAGAACATTTGTGATGAACTTGAAAAGTGGAAACAAAGTTACAAGGATCTTCATGAGGAGAAAGAAAAGCTTTATTTGGAGATGGTTTCTGCTATGCAAGAGAAGAATGAGGAAATTAAAAATTTAAATGAAGTAAACAAGGAACTGTTAGATTATATATTGACCGTATTGAACAAAAGCACAATTTTAAAAATCAAGGCAAAGATGTTGCCCATGTTGCCAAAAAATCAAGAACTCTAAATACTTTCATGTCTCGAGCAAAACTTGCACTATGGTTTATAAAATCATTTGGCCTAGAGTTGACAGAGTTGAAAGCTAGAGAACGACAAACAGGGATAGTACATTCTCTTTCTGTTGACAACACTTGTATTCCAGCTGATGGTACTAAGGGTTTTGATAGTTTATCTAGTCATGACCAGAAGACAGTAGAACAAGTATTGTTTCTTCTGGACAAATTTTGTGTTGGAGACTCATTTTATCATGAACTAACAATGATTATTGATGGTCTGCCAAAGTCGTACCTTGTCAAGCAGAGAAGAGGGCAACTAAATAATATCAGTAATGTTGTGCCTACCCCGGGTAAAGCTGATGGTGCTCAAATATCATTCACTGACATGCTGAAATCTCATGTTGATGAATTCATCAAATTACATGACGAGGTAGATTGGAGTAAAGAGAATGTCCAGGTTAAAATCTCTGGTGATGGGGCACAAATGACAAGAAATTCTAGTTTCATTTTGCTGTCGTTCTCACTACTTCAAAATCAAGATGATGTAATGTCTGCTAGTGGAAACCATACATTTGCAATTGTGAAGGGATCAGAAAGCTATGAAACACTACAGGACTCATTTGGAATGATTTTCCAGGAGATTAACAATCTAATCCAGGTGGGTGAGATCACTATCAATAACTCAAGATTAAATCTTGAGTTTTTCCTGGAGGGAGACTACAAATTTTTATTAATTATGATGGGCATGAAAGCAGCAACATCCAATTTTGCATGTGTTTGGTGCAAGATCCACAAGGATAACCGATGGAAAATGGACAAGGACTTAACTCATTATAACTCTATCCCAATCAAACGCACGCTGCAAGAAATCATAAACATGGCACAGAAAAAGGATACACAGGACAAGTTCTCTTGTGACCATAAGCCGCTTATTAATATTGATTTAGATCATGTTGTATTAGATGAGTTA